CCAGGTACAGATTCCTCAGAAGTACAATGAAGTGTTCTGGAATACTTATACTTCACAATGCTGTCCATAGCTTGTCATGATCCACACAATCAAAAGCCTTTGCGTAGTCAATAAAGCATAGGTAAACATCTTTCTGATATTCACTGCTTTCATCCAAGATCCATCGGACATCAGCAATGATATCTCTCATTCCACAGCCTCTTCTGAATCCAGCTTGAATCTTTGGAAGTTCTCTGTCAATGTATGATTGTAGCCATTTCTGTATTGCCTTTAGCAAAACTTTACTTGCTAACAACAAGTCCACATAAGTCAGAGTATTCTTGATTACTTCCATGATTCTGTTGTCTATTATGATAACTACAACTACTTTGTCTTTTATCAATTAAGTGCTGCCTCTTGGCCCTACCACCAAGGGGTCCAATCGGCTCCATTGTGGTTAGGTGTCTTAATTAAATTAGGGTAGTTCCCACTGCCAAATCCAGTTTACATAATATACCAATCACTGAGGCTTCAACGATGCTGGAGCTCCCTTCACAAATTTGGTCCTCACTCTTGTGGTGAAACGTGTGTCCTCTAGGCATTCCATGTGTGGGCTTATGGGTTTTGCCTGACAAATCCACTCTAACATGCCAATTTCCCAAAGCCTTTGGATTTTTTCCTCTACAGAATACAAAGGCAGTTCTGGTACTTCAACTTGATGAACTCTAGGCCAATGTGCAGTGAATGCTTCAGTGAACCAACCAAATAAACTATTAAATCCTTTCCTAACCTTGATAGCTGAAACTTTGAATACAGAATCTGTGCTTAGTGGACTAAGATCAATCAACTCAAATCAATCCAATGTTATGTTCCTTGCACCATTATCCCATACCCTTAATAGCAATTCCTACACGTATTAAGCTTTGCTTACGCATATTCAAAAAATCAAGCAGTTCTTTTGGAGTGTAGCATACTTCTTCCTGGGTCACATATTGTACTTTCCTTTTTAGGGCTGATTGGGACTTAAGTGTAGTTGTAATTCTGTAAGCAGTAATTGGTGGAGATGTTTCATGGAAACATTCAGCAATATCTTGCAAGATATCTACTTAAGGTGATACCTCATGAAATGCCTCAGATACCATCTCAATAGGCACAGTTGAGTTGATCTCAAAAGAAGGCAGAGGAGATGTATTTATTGACAATGGAATAATCTCTTGAGATGAGAGGGATGTGGCTGTTGGCATGAGTAACTCAGTGGGTTCTATAGGCTCTATATCCCAGCTTCCTGATTATTTGTCCAAAAGTCCCCTTCCCAAATTTCAGGATCCCATATCTTCCCAATTGGGAATTGAGTCATTGTTATAATTCAGCCACTCTTACAATAAGACTCTAGGTCTGGTTTTAACACTATCAGCCCTGCCACTACAGGAAAGTGGAGTCCTGGTGTGGTGCAGTGGGTTAATGCACTGGACTGCAATGTTGGTTTGAAGCACAAGGTCAGTGGTTCAAGTTCACCAGCCGCTCCTCTGAAACCATAGACAGGGTCACTATGACTCGTAACCAACTTGATGGCACTTAACAACAATAGAGATCAGAGCCTAAAAGTGATTACCAGGGGTGGAAAGGGCAGGCGAAACATAGAAATCTTTGTCTAACTATTATTACAATTTTATTTATGGTGTAGATGTTGGTGGTGACTGGGCAGCATGACTGATATAATTAGGTTCATTGAATTGTGTAAGTGGTAAATGCTAAAGTATCTATATATTTTCAACAATAATAAGAAAAAAGAAATGTGAAAACATCTGCATTCGCATGACTCATAAATGGTCTCTTGGGGATAGAGAATAAGCAGGAATTTTTTTCCTTTCATCCAGACCACTGTCCCACAAGGAGATGAGCTCAGAGTTTGGACTAACAAATGAGAAATTACCTAATGAGCAGATTTCAGGAAGCTGTAAATATCACCTTGTATCCTTTCCCTCAATCTTAAGCATCTTGGGCTAGAAGGTACATGGTTGATTCTTTTGGAGTCCTGCTTATGACTTAGGGACTGATGCTTGGCACCTTCCTGCTGTGTTGTCTGTGGACAGAGCATCAGTCTGTACTAATATCTATCCAGAAAGGAATTTTTACTTCCGTACACTGACCTTCCTCACAAATATTCTATTCAGGTGAGTTTGAGAGCTCAATAGATACTGCAGGAAAGAGCCAGGTAGAAAGGAATATGTGCATCAATCCAATCTAACCCAGAGCTGAGAGAAGGCTGTGTGTGTTTGTTGTTTGCTTGCTAGGTAATTAATTTATACATGTCTTTTAATACATTAAAAAGAGAACTGTCTATTAATGAGAATATGTCTGAGAATATGGAAAACACACCTCAAGCATCTCCTCCACACAAGTTTTTACCATTTTCTGTCTCTTATCAATAATTTCTCTGAGATCACATTCTCTCATTTCTTTTCACAATACACATATGTTCAGAATCTATTCTATTTCAGTCACCATTTAAACTATGCCTAGGAAGAATACAAAGTGTGAAAATTCTGTCTATATTCCTCAAGGTATAGCAAAAAAAAAAAAAAAGACATGAAATTAAATGAAAGCAATACAGCATGCTAGTCCTTGTCAGTCAAAGTAAGTGCATGTAAGAAGTTGTGTCTTCTCTGAAAATGGTAAAAACACATTATCAAAGGAAAAGAGTCCATGAGTTTCTGGAAGATGAGATGGAGTTTTTCACCTTGAAAGTGTATGAAAAATTCCAAGTGGATCTGTGTGTGAGAGATCCCAAACAGAGGAAATCTGGTGTGTAAAGTTGCTGAGTATGGAAAATATGGCAGCAGGTGAAGCTTCAAGACAAGTTCAAAGCCTTGAGATCAAATGCAGGAAAAAGTGACACAGCCAGATTGGGCATGGAGAGTCAAGGTTTGTATGTGAAGCCAGGGATTGTGACTTAATTTCTGGTGGGGATTTCTGGGGTGTGTGTGTTAAATAAACAAGTTTATTTCTCATATTTATAATATTTGTGAACAAATTTATCTGAGTCAATGTGAATATCTGGCTACAGAGTTGCAACCTGGGATTGGTGGGACAGATGATAAGGATAAGAAATAGAGCTATGAAATCTGTGACTGAGAGGTGTTCAACAATGAAGGCATTTGATCAGTAGAGGAAAAAACCAGCTAGCAGAAAGGCACTATGCTAAACTTGTTAAGTTCATAGATTATGTTTTCTAACCTGCATACTGCCATCCCTAGTATATAGGTGAAGATTTTATGTTTCAGAATGGTTCCATTGCCTATTCACATATGTTAGATTCAAAATTCAACTCCTGGTTTCACTGATTCCATAAGTTTGGCATTAAATATTTTTTAAAAGTCTTCTATGGAAGTCCTGATGTGGTGCTGTGGGTTAACGTGCTGGACTGTAAAATTGGATTGAGCTTCAAGGACGGCAGGTAAAGATGATCAGCTTCTCCTTGGAAACATTATACAGGGTCACTATGGGTCAGAACTGAGTTGACTACACTTAACAACAACAAAAAATATTCCTAACCTGTTATGCTTTGTATATTTTCTTTTGTGAATTATTTATTCTCCTTTTTCACTTTCCTTTTAATGTCTATACACTGTAGAGATATCACTCTTTTGTCTTTCTGACACATTGTTTCTACTCTCCTAACAGATTTTCTGGGCATCAAGGGGATATAAAGGCTTTGCAGCATTACTAGAATCAAGGAGGCTTTCTCTTCTTCACAATGTCTCAGAGATGATTGGAGCCTGTATCTTTCCTGTCCCCCTCAGATTTACTTCATATCTTTCTCTTTCACTTCATGTTGAACAGATTTTTCTCTTTAAGCACTGGACATAAAATGACCATACCGAAACAAATATCTGAGTTGACACATCCTGGGACGATTCCCAACATCAATATCAGGGTACCATTTCAAAATTTTGAGGGATAAAATAATCTGATTTTGTCACCATGAAATTTATGTATTCTTGGGCTAATGTGTGTATGTGTATACACCTTTTGTTGGACATTAGCAGGTTTCAAAGTAGAGGTTGCTGGGCTCAATTATTTTTAAAGGAGTCACTAACAATATAGAAGGAAGATCTCAAAATCACAAATTGAAATGAGGATGGGAATCTTTTGCAACCAATAACTAAAGTGCAAGTAGTACAATATTTGGACTCAACGACCATCTATGCTTGAAGTTTCAGCAACAGAAAAGCCGCCATCTCTGATCACTTTCTTTCTTACTCATCCCTCTCACTACACTGACTTCCTTGATGACATTGAAAATATGAACGAAGTTCCTTTCTCAGGGTCTTTTCATCCTTGAGGCCTTGTCCACATGTCACCCTGCCTGTTGGTATTACAAGAACATCCAGTAAAGAGTTAGTCTCTCCCCAGATCAGCATTCTCTGCTCACTTTCTCCTTTGGACCACATTTCTTTTTTTTTATAGGTCCTTGTCACCATTTGACATATTTAATGATTCTTTATATTCTTTGTAGATATTAGGTTATACCTTTTGTTTTCTGAGACGGTGTCCACATAGAATAAACTTTTCCTAGAACATATAGTTGGCAGTGCATATGCCCCAAATGAATGAATGAATTTCTTATAGCAACTGTAGACCACACACCTGCTCAGGGAAAAGGTTGAGGATAGTACTGAGATGCTTTATATTGATAACATTGTTGTTGTTGTTAAGTGCCATAGAGTCAGTTTTGACCCATAGTGACCCTGTATAGGGCATCGAAGGAGCAGCTGGTGAGCTTGCATTGCCAACCTTCAGGTTCAAATTGACCTTGCAGTTTGGCACATTAACCCACAGTGCCACACCAGGACTACTAAAGATAGCACTAGATATACCTTAAAGAAATAAGATGCCCATAAGTGAAAAGAAAAATTGATTGACATGAAAATATAAATTATATCATTTCCACTCATTATTAAGGTTAATAGAATGACAATTAGTTATGATCTCTCTTTGCTGGTAGTACCATCAACCACATGGAACCAAGAAACAATACACGAATTTCAGTATTTCTTCTTATGGGATTTTCAGAGGAACCAGAATTGCAACCCTTCTTCTTTGATCTGTTTCTGTCTATGTATCTGATCACCATCTTTGGAAATATGCTCATCATCCTAATCATCATCTCAGATGCCCACCTCCACACACCCATGTACTTCTTCCTTGCCAATCTGTCCTTTGTAGATATCTGTTTTAGCTCCACCACTGTCCCAAAGATGCTGGCAAATATCCAGATACAGAGCAAAGTCATCACCTATGAAGGCTGCATCACCCAGATGTACTTTTTTTTACTTTTTGTGGGGTTGGATGACTTCCTTCTGACAGTGATGGCCTATGATCGCTTCATAGCCATCTGTCACCCCCTTCAGTATACAGTCATAATGAACCCCCAGTTCTGTGGACTGCTGGTTCTGGTGTCCTGGATTATTAGTGTCGTTCATGCCTTACTAGAAAGCTTAATGGTGTTACGACTGTCTTTTTGCACAGATGTGGAAATCCCCCACTTTTTCTGTGAACTTAATCAGGTGGTCAATTGTGCCTGTTCTGACACCTTCATCAACGAAATAGTCATGTGTTTGTTAGCTGTGCTGTTGGGTGGCTGCCCCCTCACTGGGATCTTGTTCTCCTATTATAAGATTCTTTCCTCCATTCGTATGATCTCATCAACTCAGGGGAAGTATAAAGCATTTTCCACCTGTGCTTCTCACCTTTCAGTTGTCTGCTTATTTTATTTTACGACTATGGGAGTATACATCAGTTCTTCTACTACTCACAATGCTCGTGCAGGTACAACAGCTTCGGTTCTGTACACTGTGGTCACGCCCATGCTGAACCCCTTCATCTACAGCCTGAGGAATAGAGACATTAAGGAGGCTTTGAAGAGATTACTCAGGAGGGAAGTCATAAAGGGCCACCTGTCCTGGCATTGAAAAAGTGACTGTGACTGAGACTGTATATTTCTATCATAGAGTTTCAATGTCTTTTATTTTAAGCAATTCCCTTACTTTCTCTGAAATCCAGACAACTTCCCCTTTTGTCTTTTCTCATACTTCCCCAAAGTGATTTCCAACTCTGAATCAGTAATTATTTGTAAACTCCCACTTACTTTATATGGTGACATGAATATAA